TCATCGGCTTCGTGTGGATGCAAGCCTCATGAAACTGATTAACTTTATACAATCTAGAAAACAACCAAACAGAAAGTTGATACAAGCTTAACAAAATAGCCTTTGAAAACCATACTGTATTCAGATTAGAAGGAAAATGTTTAAAATAAAAATTTGATGTGATGTTATATATACATATAAAAAGGGAATAATTGTGCTGGGACTTTTAAAAGATCACAATATGGACAGAAATAAAGGCATTTGTGGACAAAAGTCACAATGAAATTAAGTTATTGAGGCACAGTGTCTTTAAAACAATAATAGATATAGAAATGCACACATAATTTAGCAAAATGAGATAGAAATAGTGACCTCTTATAACGTAGTACAGTGGTTTTCTAACTTTTTCACATCAAGGACTAAACTGACACAAAGTAGAGTAAAGATGTTTTATTACAGTGTATAAAAGAGTATAAAAAATAAAGAAATTACCATTAAAAGTCCCAAAATGCCAATTTTCTCACTATTTATGTTCGCCTTTGTGATGAACATAAATAGGTAATAGGTCATTTATTGATAGTAAAACACACCACATTGATTGTTTGACTGTCATCTTGGTGTTCCATTACAGTATTTTACATCCCTCTTGAGAGTGGGATGAGGATGTAGCTTATCAACATCACCTCAGCTTAAATAGCCTAGTTATAAATCCAATGGTGTCGCAGCTACCTGATACATTACAGATTTCAAAGAGAAGATTGGTTTAAATCTACATTTTATAACACGGACAGCTTTTGTCAAAATTGTACATTTGAAAATGAATTAAGAGGGCACCAGAATCAGAATTAGAATCGGGTTTATTGCCAAGTAGCTTTACACACACAAGGAATTTGCCTTGGTATTTTGGTGCAAACAATAAACATAATAAACCAAACGAGGAATGTGATATGTACTGCATGCATTGTTGTGTGCACTTACAACATACTGGGCCTCCTTCATATCTGTGCTAGAAGTGTGTGTTGTTTGAAGTGCTGCATGTCAACACTTAAAGCTTCCACCCTTATCATGAAAGAGCCAGATATCCCTTGGCGTATAGACTGGGTGGATGTTATTCTGAACTGGGGTTTACACAGTATTTGAATCTCTCCACAACTTAAGCGATGGAGATTTGCTTTTTATTTTCAACATTTAAGGGATTTAGCTGTTCCTTTATCTCATGCAACAGAGTGGAATGAGTTCAAAGGAGAAGCGTGCAGGATTTAGTGGCATCTAGTGGTGAAGTTGCAGATTGAAACTAACTGAGAACACTGAGAACGGGCTGTGAAGAGTCTAGGAGAAACTAGTTTGGTTTGCCTTTTCTAAGCTACTGCAGAAACATGGCGGTTCAACATAGCGGCCTCCATGGAAGGCGACCCCTGGCATTGGTAGATAAAAACAGCTCATTGTAAGGTGACGAAAACACGATTCCTATATCCCCAGGTGATTATACACTAATGAAAACATATCTATGAATATTATATATGTATATACTATATATATATATTCTCCTAAATGTTACATACTGGACCTTTAAGTTGCTTAATAACTAACTCTGCAGACAACAAATAGTTGACAGAGCAATGTGCAGAAAAGCTGGTAGAAACTGTCAGTAAATGTTTGACATTGCTTCAAATCTTTTCTGGAGTGTGTGTGTATGTGTGTTTGTGTGCATGCTGATAGGGGGCTCTGATGTCCTCCTATCAGTCTGTATCATTTCAAGAGTGCTAATGTTGCAAGTTGGAATAGTTTATGTGACAGTTTCCTCAGGGCGGGGAAGAGAAACGAGGGAGTAAGGGCTGAGAATACTAAAGGGGAAGAAATAAAGAAGAGGGAGAAAATAGAAATTGGGCCAAAGGGTGAGAGGCAGAGGGGGTTGAGACAGACCAGACACAACGACGAGAGAGAGCGCAACAGAGTGAAAGACAGAGACGGAGGGTTGAGAGAGCAATACAGGGAGAGATAAAAGGCTCGTAGCCAAAGAAAGAAAAAACGAAGAGGGGGAAGAGATAACAGGAGCATGGGGGGGGTAGAGTCAGACGCAGAAAGTTGAGAAGATAAGACAGACGGGATTAGAAGAGAAGAGAAGGAAAGAGATGTTTCCAGGGAGATAGAGGGGGTTGAGAACAACAAGTACTCAACAATAGCGCTCTTAAGCATTCTGGAGGGCACGAAAGGAAGAGACACAACGAGAGTGGGAGGGGAGACGAGAAAGTGACGGAGCTACAGTTTCAGCCTGCTTACCATTGAGAATGAGAGGGGGGAGGAGAGTGGAAGACAAATGAAGCAATGGAATGGAAGTGGACAGATATTGATGAGATGAGAGAGAGAAATGGATTGGCGAGCAAGCAGAAAATCTACAGGGCAATTGAGATGCATGTGTGGGTACATAATATGTGTTCCTGCTATCCAGTTTAAGGACACATTTTATTTTATCTATTGTTCCTAAATGCCCGTCAGTCCACTCCCTTCCCCGTGGAAATCTCTAAAGTTCTATAAAATCTGTTGAACCTTAACTTTTGTGGCGTTAAGAATAAATTCCATTACTGAGCTTGTACGTAGTCACACGTTATTTGCCAGAAGAGATGACTCATCATCATCAAAAGGTCTAATTTCAAACAAACTTTTTCCTAATGTTAATTCTATCCAGAGGAGTGTTTTTTTGCTGAGCCGGGTGTTTTTTCAACAACCCCCATTTCACATTCACAGTAGGGAGCTGCCCAGTAAAACCACAGACGACTGCTGGTCGCTGTGCTGCTCCACTGGAGCAGCTGAAGATTGCTTTAATGACACCGTAGCAGTGAGAAGAGTGTCAAGGGATGAGATAGAGGCAGAGGAGGAAGATCCAGTCTTAGATGACGATTACGAACCCTGTAGTGATGAGGGGGACTGATGCATCTGCACCTATTTGCTTCATGGGTGTATCCTACCTGATAACTTTGATTTTGTGTCATACCGTGTGTGCACTGGTCCAGAAACTTGAAGCCACCAGTGCACACACTGAGAATTGTCTTTACAGTGAAGTAGGAGACATCTTGTGTCCAGCAGGAAAACTAACCCTTTCTGGAATTACACATTTTTGCCAATACAAAAAAAGAGTAAATCACACAATATTGTTCCAATAAGATTATTTGTATATTTCGAAATACATGTCTGGAGGGGATCTTTAATTGTACTGTGTGAGTGTCGGGAGACCACGTTTCTACCCTGTTAATTAGCTTGTTTCTGTCACAGCTGGTTTTCTAAAAAGCTCATGAATTGAGCTCAAATTTGGTGGGCAAGTAGACCATAAAGACAAAAACAGCTGATCACGTCTTTGGAAGTCGTCATAGCAATGTTAGTATATTATTCTATATCATGGCCAGGAGTGTACACATTTCCATTTGGTGTTCATGCTATTTTGTCCCTTCATTTGGGAACAAATTAAAAAAACAAAAATCCACATTATAACCTTCACAACGGTACTTTATATATATTTATACTTAGTACCTATTGCAAGTCCACTGTTTAAATTGCATTATATTGGTCAGGTGTTCATGTTTTTATGCTGATTGCTCCCATGACCACAGGCAATCATTTCACAGCAGGCTAATAAAAAAGCAATTGCTCTACTGCGTTTTAGAAGGTTTCAACAGTGAGATTAACAGTGAGGAAATATTTACGGGTCTCTTGATAGCGGCTCTCGGGTCACAGTTGATTTGTTGACTATGTTGTTATAATTTCCTTGTCAGTGGCAACACGTTGATGGTGAGCATTCTCCTGTTTTTGTCGAGGTGAACAAATAGTTTCTAGCTTTTAAGAACAATGAAATTATTTGACGTCAACAGTGGGCAATCTGAGCAGACCTATGTACCAGACCAGGTGTTGTTATTTTAGTTTCTGTGCTTTTTCGTAACCTTATTAAAAACAAATGGTGGCAGGAGCAAATATAGTGTCTGACACTCTAAAAGGGCATGCAATATATTTTTCTTTCCACCAGGGTGGTTTTCTGTAGCAATTAAACTGCAATCACACAGATGACAGTGATGCAGCTTTCTATGAGACACTTGGACAAATCAGTTCATTTTGCTGAAACCACCACACTACACTAGAAAATGAAATTTTACTCCCATCATTTTGCACAGAACAAACAAAAGAATGCATCCGCTTGAAATGAAAGACAAGTTATCATCTTTACAATCAATGAAAGGTCACACCACAATGGTCCTCCATTAAATAAATAAATGATTCCAACACATGATAACTCATAGAATAGTAAAAGATTGCAGAATTGACAAAATATTTGACAGGAAGTCCTCAAGAGACAGTGCCTGAGCTTCCTTTTGTTTGTCCTGATGTTTCTCAGCTTACTTTTAGCTATTTCACAATTTTTACTTTTAGCTACGTGTTTCAGCTATTTATCTGTTAGTTACATATTCCAACTATTTATCCATTGATTCTCTCGTTATATTCAAGTAGAATGAAATCGATCAAATAGCTATTGTCTGATACAAATCACAAATCTTTGTTTACAGCTGCAGCATTAGTTCTTTCTGCTCCTAAAGAGTTAAATCTGCATGTTGGAAGGCCTTTTCCTGCCTCTGTTCCAGTTTTTGAAGAGGCATCAGAACTTGTTCAAAGGCATCAAACAATAAAAGATGGCAGGAGGGGAAGTTGCTTTATATTTTATAAATGATTGATGCTCCCACTTCGCAAACATCCAGAGTCTCATCCTTTTTATCCTCAATTCCACTGTCTTGAATTTAATTCTGAGCGTTTCTGTTTGGGTTTGTTTTAATAGACATGAACAAGCTTGTCTTCATCCTCAGGTACTACTATTTACATGAAGGCTGTTTGGATATTTTTAATAATAGATTTTAATAATCTGTCCACATTAATGCGTGGATATTTTTTCTACCTATTATCATGTTTTTATCTACTTTTCAGTTTGTATGCAGGATGCTTAAATGAAGTGTGTAAATATGTGCTTTCTTTCCTCCCTCCAGAACTCTGACAGAGCTTCTGAAGCAGCCAGGGGAGGCGGGAGTTGTGGATGGAACCGGGGTTCATCATCCTATAGGGACCAACGGCATCTCCGCCAGGGCACTACGCTCCAACAATGGTCAGTCCTCAGTGTGTGTGTCTGTGTGTCTGTGCGTCTGTGCATGTTGTGCATTTGGGATAGGTTAAATTATATTACGTGTCTTAGAGTAGTGATATCACTCAGATGAACTCATGCAGCCTACCTCTTCATCGACACCGCCATTAATTTCTCCATAACTTCAAGCAAATTTCAATTGCTTATCCACTACTTTAGCAAACTATCAATTAGTCCAATTTTAGCTAAGTATATTTTAATAGTTTATCCACTACTTAAAGCTAAATATTTCAACTGTTTAACTCATACTTCAAGCTAATTTAACTATAGTTCAAGTATTTACTAACCAGTTATCCATAACTGTTAGCAAGAACTGTTAATCAATTACTTTTACACAACTATTTCAACTATTTATTAATCCCATCATTTTTAGCCAAGCGTTTAGACTTTGCTACTGCTCACTGGTTAATTAGTATTCACACAACGTCAACATGTGGTGTTCAGGTGTTACAAGTAACTCAAATTAGTTGAGCTACAAACTCCCTGGCACCTACAGAAGTAGCCCCAAGGGTACAAGGACCCCTGCTTGGGATTCATTGTCTTACAGCGCCCCTCTAAATTGAGAACAATTCAGACACAAGGGGGTGCATTAATTTGGAGGACTGAGACAAAGCCTTAACTGCTGTGAAACAGCTTCATGCCCTCTAATAACCTCACAAACAAATACACACAACACATCAGGACTGAGCTCATGGGAGAGTGAAGACTTCAAGTCCATCTGAGAACATTTTTATTTACATACACGCACAAACACCACAGACCCATTAAATAGACATGTATGTTTAAATTTTCTACACCAGAACTCTTCCCTTGTACCCACTTACAGTGACGCACTTACTGTACATGCATGTGTCTCACCGTCTATTGCTGTCTCTCTGTCTGAGCACAGAAGCACACATGTCTCATCCATGGGCAAGGAGGCGCAGGGACAGACAGGTCATATTTAATTAAGATGTAATTAGCCGTGTTCCTGCTCCAAACCCACAGAGGGAATGCTGTGTGACCCATCTGTCTTCCGCTTTCTAGACGTTTTGACCACACACACAAAGACCCACATACAGAACACACACACACACACACACACACACACACACACATATGTACATGCTCAGTATAACCCTTTGCTTCTTCAGTGGATTGAGACTCAAATTAGAGGGCATATTTCCTAAGGGTTCATTTGTGACAAGAGTGATGGCATGCTTTAAAGGACAAAGTCCCTGATGCCCCACAATTTGGTCCTCATTATCAGGCGTAGCAGAAAAAATGTGAGCCAGTTATTTCCTAATATCCAGACTGTGTTATTGTGTGGTACTGTAGGTAAATGTCTTTTTTTCCAAACTTCTTACGTTCATATCTGGTTACTCACCAAAGCATGCATAAAGCCATATGAAATTAAAAAAACATGAGTCTCTGTAGATGCTACTTTAGCTAACCCACACGCACTGATACAAAAGATACCAAATGTTTCATGTGTTCTGGTTCATATGTAAGTTATTCTAGTGTAAAGTTTTCATATTTCACACTGTCACAAATGCACACCCTTACACATGCAGTATTTATCCACACACACACAGACAAATGCTGAGGCTTCTCCTTTTACTTTCATCTTCCAACCATTGCAATAAACATGTTTTTGGCCTCTGTTTCACCCCGTACTGGGCTTATTAGCACTCTGTTTCCCCTGCTCCTTCCATTTTTTTATTCCCCTGTTATTAAATCCCCCTTTTACCTCCTCTGCTTTCTCACATTTCTTTGTCTAAGTGTTTTTTTGGAGTCTTCAACATCAGAGTTTAATCAGACTTTCAGCACCCTATATTACCAGATAGCTTTTTCAGCATTTTTGTTAGTCTTTAATATCTATTTTATGTGATATAATTACCTTTATGTTGTTGCTTTTAAAATCTGATGGATCAGGATGATGTGCATGTTGTCATGAAGAAAAAGAAATACAGTTTTTAACTCCATCCTATACCAAACTGTACTACAATTACAAGTTTGTGCACTTTCTTCTTTTTAATATTTAAATTAAGTTTTACATCTTATTAGATGTAATGACATATACTTGCTGTAGAATTCCAGCATTTAAGTAAGAAGGAAGAATAAATATTTGTTTGTCCACTTAGGGTAGCAAGAGAAGCAGAAGAAGAAAGAATTATTCCCGTAGTTAAAAAGATAATAGAAAATGTCAAGGAAATAACAGAAGGAAGGGTGTGAGAGGTGTGAAAGGAGGAATAAACAGAGCATACATATGGAGAAGAGAGAGAGAGAGTGTGTGTGTGTGTGTGTGTGTGTGTGTGTGTTTACTGCAGGGGCTGAATGGGGGTACAGGGTGATGACAGTCGGGGCGACCGGATGAAGCCATCCTGATCCTGCTGTGTCAGCCGTCTACACTTAATCACATCTTAATTAAACACATTTAATCCTCCAGGCCAGTTAGACAGAGAGACAAAGAGAGAGACTGGGAGGAAAAACAAGAGAGATGAGGGGGAGTGAAAGAAGAGGCAGAGAGAAAAGGAGAGAGGATGGTAGACAAATTGGTTTGAATGTAAACAAAATGTTTATCACTTCACAGGTTGGAGTAAAATATCTTTCAGCGGAGGTTGATGGCTGCATAAAACTGTTCTGCATCTCCATAATTTAAATTTTAAACAGTATAAAAACTGTGTTTCACCACTTTCTCCATAATCTACTGTTGGGATTCAAACTCAAATTTAAGACCTACAGCAGAATGGCACCCTTATATTGGTAATAATGACAACATTATTGCCTTTTAATGGAAAAAGCATTTAAAATGTCTAAAGTGAAAGCTGGTCTGTCGGTGGGTCCATCATTTTATTTCAGACTGAAATAGCCCAGCAACTGTTTGTTTCCATTGAAAGTTGTACAAAACCTCATGGTCCCTAGACGACAAATCCTATTTACTTTGACAATGACAACTTTTTCTTTAGTGCTAAAATAAGATTACAATTACAGACTGTGGTATCTGAAGGCTTATAAATTTAAATTACATTCTGTTATAAGTTCAAATGATATATGTCAACATATGTAGTGTTAGTAGTACATGAGGTTAAGGGACTAATTCTTACTATGGAATGTTTATGGCTTTAGCAATAGCCTCTGGCCTCAACTGTTTGTGGCTTAATCCTCTACTGTTTGTGGTTGAAGGGCCTTTGACCTTTACTTGATAACCCCCCACCTCCCCTTATCACCTTAAACATTTGGATTGGAATTAAACATTTCTTTTGACCTTTGGAGTAAAACTGACCTTTATAAACCTGTGTTCAAGGTGAATTAGACAGAGCTGTTCCTTTGGCAGGATGCTCTCCAAGCTCCCGCGCTGCTTGTATTGATGCTGAACTTTTTGTAATAAACCTTTTTATATACAATCAAGACAGTGTTAGGGGACTTCTCTTCAACACATCTTCACATCATCGCTATTAAATATTCAACAAGACAATTAAAATACAGTGCTTTCAAAGGCGGTGATGTGTTTGTATACAGACAAATACAGACAATATGAAGAAGGTTACAGACTGGATCTTTGACAGATTTTATTTTTTACATTATATGATGACTTTTAGTCTAGTGCCATTACAAGTCAACATTTAAACTTATCCAATACTAGATACTCGAACACATGCCTACAAAACTAACAACATTCCCATCAGCCACTGCTGCACTTTGTGTTTAGTGTTAATTAGCAAATGTTAGCATGCTATCATGCTAAACTAAGTTGGTGATAATGAACATTATACCTGCAAAACATCAGCATGCATGTTGCTAAAGTTAACATTTAGCTCAAAGTACACCCTTACAGAGCTGCTACTATGGCTGTAAACGTCTTATCTCTTTCCCTCCTTTGTCTGCCTCTCTTTACTGTAGATTTTGAAATGAAAGGTAAACTTGTATTACAGTAGTAAATAAACATGTAGGTTGATACAACCAATACAACCATGGTCTTCCACTTTTCTTATTCATCCACTCTGACTGGCTAACTTGCCTCCAATGCACATATAAATGCACCGTATGCAAAGTTTTGCACCAGCTCATGATCACTTTATTGTCTTTCAGTGCAATTTCTCCAACCTCATTTCTGAAAAGAACAGGCTGAAAATATCAGAAAACAATTTCTCATCTAGGGAAGGAAAACATGCTAATGATTTTCAAATTTGCTGCAAGGGAACAATGCAGAACATACAGCAACTATTCTCATCACTATACATACTATGTGCATCAATGCGCTGTGGCTTAAAATAGGCTGTAGCTGGACAAGTTAGAGTGCAGTGAGAAGCATGAGCGCGGCTGATTAGGATGAAAATACACTGAACAAGTCCTGAGCCCTTTACCTAATGAAGACAGCAGCCAAATCCTCATGTTTCCTCTCTGACAAAAGAATGATCTCCTTATCTTCCTTGCACTCCTCTCCTCTTCCTTTGTGCTCATTTTTGAGGCAGATATATATTTAATACAATGTAAGAGATGAGCTAAGGGATAAAAGTGGTAAGATGTAAAGTCTAAAGCTGGCATATTTGACATAAAGAGAGGCGAGCGAGAGAGAGAGAGAGAGAGAGAGAGAGAGAGAGAGAGATAGAGAAAAGCACAAGGAAAGACATACTCAGGTCATGTGATGGTTACAGTGACAACAGGAAGACATGTTTATGTGTGGTTAGAAAAGACAGCTGATTTGATGAGAGAAAAGAGGTTGACAGGAAGAAGTTATTGAACAAAGTCATAGAACAAGGTAATGTGGAGAGAGACAGGAGGGAGGAGATGAAACTTAGATGAGGTTAAAAGAGAGACATACCTTAACAATGACATTACTGAGGCGTGGAATGGGAGAAGCAGCAAGCGAAGGAGGGCGCAAGAGGGGGAGAGGCGGTGAAGGCAAAAAAAGGAGGGAACAGGCAGATGAAAGGGAGCTGATGATGAAAATGAGCGGGTGGGTGTGACACTGTGTCCAGTGT